TTTTTTTAAACCCTAATATATCATTTAATATGATATGTGACAGAATGCCACATATCAAAACAGAAATGTAATTTCCAACTTAAGGTTTAGCTTCCCTGTGCCTTTCTTTGGGTTATACCAGGGTCTTTGGCCTTGTAACACTGGCCCCTGTATCTTCTAGAACAAATCTTACAGCATTAATTTATGCAGCACTTACGGATGGAGTCTACCCCTAATTGAAGTGAAACCTCCTTGCTTGCCACTTGCARCAGATTTTAAGGAGAGCTTTCAAAGTAATCAAATACCAGCTAAGACATATGTCTGCAACAAAAACACGATGTGGGAGCCACAAACATMCCACCTTAGTGCTGCTCCTTTCCCTGCCCTCCCAAATTGCTTTCCAGCATTCCCTGCTCCGTCAAGCTGCAGCCTCTCCACTAAACCAATGACCACTAGAAATGCACTTCAGCATTTTGATCAGGCAGGACCACAGAATGTGCAGCTTTTTCTACCAGAATTTGCCCCACACTCAGAGGTTTGCCTTGGGAGGAATGCTCCATGTGAGCCAGGGTTCTGGCACAGACACGCTGTGGTACATGTCCCCTCACCTCCTGGCACACACTAATTAATGCTGGGCTGCCACAGCATTAGAAATTGCAGGGCTGACATGATCAGTAGCTCCAGCAGCTCTCCATRGAGATTCCTGATTGTGTTGCTCCTCAGAGAGATCTTACAAATACTGGCATTTTACTTGTATTTAAAAAATGGAAAAATATTTAAAACAGAATTGTTATTTCCTGTGGATGTGCACATTGCTAAGAACAGAAGTACTCACTGACTAGGCTAGAATTAGCAAAAAGAAATACTGCACAAATAATTGGAAATGCCTCCATCCCACAGACGTTCAGATGGATGAATCTCCTGGGGAAACCTCTRGAAGCTCAATCAGAGAGCAAAGCTTAGTTCCTCCACAGGGTCCTACTCCTGCTCCACTGGGAGTGATCCCGCTGGTGTTCTGGAGACAGGTATGAGAGCCTTAACCAAGAAGAGCATTTCCCCTCTCACACTCCCTCTGGGAATGCTGGGGGTGGTAACAATTGCTCACTCCACACATTACAGCTTCACAAACATGAAAGGCAGTGCAGGCTCGAGTAGAGGCTGTGGGAAGCACAAAGGCTCGGGATTGCTCACACAGTAAGGAAATGGATGGCACTAATGCACAGGCCTTTGCTTTCTGGCTCTGGCTGAAAAAAAAAAAAAAAAAAAAAAACCCATCTCTGCATTAAGTACAACAGCATTTGCACCAGGAAACCTCCCCCAAGCCCTGCAGTGGCTCCCCTGCTCCACTTCAGGGACCATTTTCCAGGGCTTCCTGAGCACACATGCCTGTGAACGCTGTGCTGAGCACACCTGATGAGAATTGATGCTGAATGTACCTTCCCRGATAGCACAACACAAGACACTCTATATTTCCTGGTTTTCATCAGAAAGAACACAGGATTCCTTTTGTACATTACTCTGAAGAGATGGCATCACATCCTGCAGGAGAAACTGTCTTTACCGATTAGCACAGCCTTGTGTGAAATCTCAGGCAAGCCTTATCCAAATTCATCCTGGCTGCCTTTGATAGCTAAATGATGCTGCAGTATTCGGAATTGGTCACCTCAGACACTATCACAGGGAATAGAAAGGTGTTGTCAGAGGACTGCTCTGAGCTGGAGTGGGCTGAGCCATCCCTTTCCACYGATTTCAGTGTGAACACTACTCAATCAATGCCTGTAATTAGTGGGATAAATCTGGACCCKAATGCCTCTGCATTACTCAGCTATCTCACAGGGAACTGCACAAGCGTCCTGCACTCTGGCTGCAGATGTGCAGGATGAGCCATGTGTGTCTTCCTGGACACCTCTGAGGCTGACACGAGCCTTTCCCAGGACCCTCTCAGGTCACCCCTGATGTTCTGGGGCACCTCCCAGGCTGCTCCAAGTGCTCCTGGACTCCTTCCAGCACCGCTGTAGGAATATGTTGTTTGTATGCCAGAAACACCGATCGCCATAATGTTGATATTAAGCTGACTATCAGAGGCCATTCAACCTCCAGTCAAAGCCTTCACGGGGCTTCTATATCCTGCCACCTCCTCACCTGACCCAGCCACAGGACTGGATTATTGTTACCCAGGCACAGATTCTGGGATGTGTACAAGCTGTTTGTGTGTCACACAGAGTTGGCCTGTGTCAGCAGAACTGAGGTCATGGCTGCCTTTGCCTCAGCCCACCCCACGGTGAGGCAGCAGGATGAGACTCCCTTCCTTTGGAGCTCCAATAGCAGCCTGTTTCAAGTTTTTGCTACGGTATGAAACAAGAAGAGGTGCTAGACTTGTAGACCCAGCTAGCATCACAATGAACATATACAACCATAAAAAGGCTCTGCTGAAATAATAATCAAACATGGTTAATAAAACTGTGACCAATGGATGTACTGTCTGGGCAAGAATGTGCTCACAAAGCTGGGCAGTAGAGTAAGGGACAGAGGAAAGCCGAGGGTGGTATTTATCCAAACTGGGGTGCCTCATGACAGGGCTGCAACACCCACAGACAGCTCCAYGTGGGGAAGCCTTGGTGAGCAATGTCTACCTGACACAGATTCACTCACAGACAGGACACCTTCACTGGGGCCTTCCCCTCACAGCACACAGGCCTCCACACAGCTGCCATTGCAAGGTTCAGCCCAGCCCCAAGCCCTCACAGCCCCCTAAGCCCCCACACTCCCCATGCCCCCAACAGCCCTCAGACCCCCTGAGCCCTCAGAACCTCTCAATTCCTCACACTTTCCTGATGGCCCTTTGAGCACTCACAGGTCCTCGAGCTCCCAGTCTCCTCACAGCAGCCCCTGACCACCCCCTCACAGGATCCCGTGAGCCCTCAGAGCCACCCTCAGCTCCCCAAGCCCTCACACTCCCTTCACACCGCCCACCCCTCCCGCCGTGTCCCGCCCCGATCCCTTCCCGCCGCCCGCGCGGTCGCCATGACAACGCCCGCGCGCGCGGCCCCGCCACCCTCGGGCGGAGCCGCGCGCCAGAAAGTGCTGGAACGCCGCTGCAGCCCGCGCGTGCGCACGCGGCGTCCTTCCCCCACCCACCGCGGCGCTGCGGCGCCGGGGGGGAGCGGGACAGGGAAACGGGGAGGGAGGGAACGAGGRAGATCCGCCTGGAGGAGCGGAGGCGAGGGGCGGGGGTCAGCTCTGGGGATCCGCGGGGAACCCGCCCTGTCCCGCAGTGAGGAGGAGCAGCCGCCTCCCCTGCGCAAAGCCCGCACACGGGTCCGTCAATRGGCGGCTGCAGCGGCCACCGCCCAGAGCCCGCTGCGGAGTCACTGCGACGGTTACCAGGGCACTTCGCTCTCCGCCAATCAAATGGCGTTAGCTCATCCCCCAGGGCCGGCAGCCAATCGGCTTCGACATCAATCATTCAATTGAGCCAATCGGGAACGCCATGAGCGAGSTGGGGCGGGCACTCGCGGGTCCCGGTTGCTTAACTGTAAAGCCAACAGACACGGGGGCGGAGCGAATCGGAGCCGTCAGTTTGAGTGACAGCAGTAGAGCCAATCATATTCTCTCATTTGTAGAGCCTCGCTACAAACAGCCAATCGTTGCTGCGGATGGCCGCCTGGGCGGGGAAAAGACGGCTGCGCGCGCATTCCGCTGCTATATAAGGGCTGGCGGTTGCCTCACGCAGCCAGAGTCGGTTGGGGGAAGGTTGAGATCTGTGAGAGTGGTCTGACCCGTCGCCATCATGAGAGAGATCGTGCACCTGCAGGCCGGGCAATGCGGAAACCAGATCGGAGCCAAGGTCCGGGCGGGGAAGGAGGGCGCGGGGGCGGGAGGGGAGCGCGCCCGGTCCGATGCGGCCGCCGCTGACGCGCTTCTCTTCGGCAGTTCTGGGAGGTGATCAGCGACGAGCATGGTATTGACCCCACCGGCACCTACCATGGCGACAGCGATCTGCAGCTGGAGCGCATCAATGTCTACTACAACGAGGCCACAGGTAGGGCCCGGACCCACCCCCCCGCCCTGGCTCTCCCGGCTCCCTCGGCTCCCTCGGCGCGGTAGTCACGGCTCTCCCTGTGTTGCAGGCGGCAAGTACGTGCCCCGTGCCGTGCTGGTGGACCTGGAGCCCGGCACCATGGACTCGGTGCGCTCCGGGCCCTTCGGGCAGATATTCAGGCCAGACAACTTCGTGTTCGGTGAGTGCGCGGGGGCGGGAGGAGCCGCGGGGTGGGGCGGGCAGGGCACTGCGGGGCTGCCCCGCCGCACATGCTCCGAGGGACCGGCCCGGACGGGGCTAATCCTGGCGTGGAATACCGGGATTGCGGCTGGGAGCAGCTCCGAGGCGGCACCAGAGGTCGTTGCTCTTCCGATTCTCGTTACCGCCTCCGTGCGTGCCATCGGGAGAAATGGAGTGGCTGCTGTATCATTGATAATTAATGTTTTCCCTGTGTCTGCCGAGCCACTGCAGAGGTGCCTGTGTGAAACCACAGCCCTGCGCTCGATAAGATGAAAGCTTTCATGGAGCYTGATGCTCTTAAGCTTTGCTTGCAAGCAATAAGCAGGAAGCAGTGACCGTAATCTAATATGAAAATGGCTCTTTTCCAGGTCAGAGCGGAGCAGGAAACAACTGGGCAAAGGGCCATTATACGGAAGGTGCTGAATTAGTCGATTCTGTGTTAGATGTTGTAAGAAAGGAGGCAGAAAGCTGTGATTGTCTCCAGGGCTTTCAGCTTACTCACTCCCTGGGTGGTGGCACCGGCTCTGGCATGGGTACCCTTCTCATCAGCAAAATCCGTGAGGAGTACCCTGACCGAATTATGAATACTTTCAGTGTGGTGCCCTCCCCTAAAGTGTCAGATACTGTAGTAGAGCCCTACAACGCCACTCTGTCGGTGCACCAGCTGGTGGAGAACACGGACGAGACTTACTGTATCGATAACGAGGCGCTGTACGACATTTGCTTCAGAACACTGAAGTTAACGACCCCCACCTACGGTGATCTGAACCACCTCGTGTCRGCCACCATGAGCGGTGTCACCACCTGCCTGCGGTTCCCGGGCCAGCTCAATGCTGACCTGCGGAAGCTGGCRGTGAACATGGTTCCCTTCCCACGTCTGCACTTTTTCATGCCTGGGTTTGCCCCRCTCACCAGCCGTGGGAGCCAGCAGTACCGGGCTCTGACAGTGCCAGAGCTCACCCAGCAGATGTTCGATGCCAAGAACATGATGGCAGCGTGTGACCCTCGTCACGGCCGCTATCTGACCGTGGCCGCTGTCTTTAGGGGCCGTATGTCTATGAAAGAGGTGGATGAGCAAATGTTAAACGTTCAGAACAAAAATAGCAGCTATTTTGTYGAATGGATCCCTAATAATGTTAAAACAGCAGTCTGTGACATTCCACCTCGCGGCCTCAAAATGTCTGCCACCTTCATTGGCAACAGCACGGCCATCCAGGAGCTGTTCAAACGCATTTCTGAGCAGTTCACTGCGATGTTCCGCAGAAAGGCCTTCCTGCACTGGTACACAGGGGAAGGAATGGATGAAATGGAATTCACAGAGGCTGAGAGCAACATGAATGACCTGGTGTCTGAGTACCAGCAGTACCAGGATGCTACAGCTGAAGAGGAGGGAGAGTTTGAGGAGGAGGCTGAGGAGGAGGCTGAGTAAAGCTATGCAGTTGAACACCTGTAAATTTTGTTTAAAGTTGTATGAACTCTCTCATTCAAAAGTTCTGTTTGTGTTGTGTTATTATTGCTGTTTCCAAGTCACTCCCAATGCTGTACAGGCACCATTAAAGCAGTTTTCACAGTGCACGTCCCCGTCTCCTCTGTTCATGGCGGTAAGATTCCCGTGTGCCGTTCCCRTAAGTTACCCCGTAAATGTCCCGCAGGTCTGGAAAAGAAAAACAATGGACTTGGCACCTTGTCCATGGCAACCACCCTTCTCCYGCCCTCAGCCAGGAGACGCCTGTTGTGTCATTGGCACCATGGCAGTCCTGCTCCTGGTAGCATGGGGATTGAAGAAATGCTCTGATATTGCCTTAGCATCAGGTACTGCTGGAGGGGAGTACATTTGACAGGCGGGAATGGAGTTAACTCCAGGCTGTATCTAAATTTAGGTACCTGCCTGTGGCCTGTTCCAGCCTGGTGCGGCAGGAGCTGCGCAAGGGCTGCGGGAGGTTTGAGTTGCCTGGGCACAACACGGTGCCACCGAGCTGCCACCCAGCACTGGGTGTTCCTGGCACCAGCTGAGCTGTTCTGCTGCAGCTGCTGAGCACTGCACACCCAGCAGGGAGCTGGGGCCTGGCCCAGGAGCGCTGGGCACAGCTGTGACAGGTGACACCAGAGCTGTACTATGCATGCAGCCCTCTGCACTGGCTTTAAAAATCACTGTAGAGGCTTTGAAAATCTGGTATTTGTACAGCCTCTGCTTTTGGGCTGAGCTGAACACCTGACAAGTGTCATACACTGGTTTGTCTCCTGAAAACAGGTTTTTTTGTGTATTAACAGCAAATTTTTGCAATGGAAACCACATGTTCAGTGTTACTTCAAGTGACAGTTGTCACGGGAGCTGGACGGGGGAGCAGGCTGCTTCCATGCTGAAGAAATTCTGTTCAGCATTCTAAATTATAACTGCTTTTGTTTAAAGGTTTTCTGCCTTAATTAATTTTCTCCACCCAGAGCTGGACTGGTTGGAGCAGTTAAAACTGTGCTGACTGGTGGCTCCAGAGGCAGGCAAGTGGGAATGTCTGCAGGAACAGGGCCCAGTGTCACACCTGCGCAGGGGAACAGGCTGGAGGGGGAAAGATGGCAGCAGATTCTAAAGCATGAAGTAACACTGGGGAGCTGATTCTTGCCCTGGGTTTTAAAGTGGGTTTTTCTTGCTCCTGTCCATTACTCACTGGCTGGCTGGGCACTGAGGGCAGGACAGCGYTGTCCTGTTTGGCAGAGCTCCATGAGTCCCCCTCCCTTGAGGAGCCTGTGCAGGAGGGCAGAGCATCAGAGCCCCGGGTCCAGCTCAGAACAGCTCTCCAGGGARCTCCAGCTTGGGTACTGCCTCATGGGGTGTGACCACAGCCCTCCCCAAGGAACCCAAAACACCCCAGAGACACCGTGAGCCACCCCAGGAAGGGACAGGGTGAGGTAACAGGGGACAGCAGCGGTGTCACCTCCAGAGTGGCCAAACCACACCCAGCTTTGAGCAGCAGGCCTGTCCAGCCTCACCTTTTTCCCAGCCATGTTGAGATGTCTCTGTCCTTCCCCTCAGGTCCTGAGTAGCCATTGTTCCTGCCTGCCTTGCCCAGGCCCCATACAAGGCTCATAAAGCCACCCTCACCACCTCAACCTTCTCCTCTCAGGGCCCAACCTCCTCGTCAGCCACAGCCCAGCCCTGCCAGGAGAGTTTTCCCAGCATTTGATTTCAATCCTATCACRTTTTGTGTTTTCCATTTTCCCCCTCTACACTGCAGTAAGGGYAAGCCATCAGTTGGGTTCTTCCCATCTCCATCATTTCCCACCCACATTACTGARCTGTGACCAAACACAGCAATGCATTAATTGCTGATTTGTTGGGATTTTTCAGCCTGGTACGTTAATGCTTTCAGGTGCACAGACACACCTTCCCATTACACACAAAATTCCTGCAGACCTCTCCTTTTAGGCAGCCCAAGACCTGACAGGGTTCAGGCAGGGACCTGTCCTGATGCAAATACCATTTCCCTACACTTTTGGTGCTTTCTCAACCCCTTTAAATAATCTACCTTTTCCTTTTTATCAGACTTCAAGCTTTTTAGGATAAATCCCTCTTTTGACATGTGMCAGGTGGGATGTCACTGAGCCTCCCCTACCTCGGCAGGGGGGTGGTGGCTGGAAATGTGAAGCCTCTCTGAGGCTGGCAGTGGGAATGCTGGGCTCTCCTGCAGCCAGGCAGGGCATGGCACAGCTCCAGCACCTCGGCACAGACCGGGAAAAACTCTACTACTGGTGCGGAACGTTTCAGTAATTGTTCGCTTGTGTGCCACTCCAGCCAATGACAGCAGCACTTAACCCAGTAATTAGTGACTTYCATTTTCACTCAGCTGATGAACTTACGTGGTACAAAGCCCATGTAGGAAGGTATGAGTCCAGCACGGYTGTAAATTTTGGTGTCTGGCCAGTGTGTCCGGGGATATCTGGTGCCCAAGGTATAAGGTGGATTTCTCTGCAAAAGCTGGAAAACAAAACAAAAAAAAAACCCCACAACATGGAATGGTTTATTTTAAAACATACTATTTTTACCAAAGTCATGTGCTTTGACTCTGCATTATATAAATTATTTAAGCCAACATAAAGCAATTCTCTTTCCAGTCCTGCTTTCTTCTAATTAAGAGCTACATTGTATCATCTCTTTTTCCACTCCATAAATTTTCCTCCTGTCAAATGTTGATAGCAGTCCCTGCCACCTCATYCTCCATGCCCACAGCATGGCCCAGGTGCTGTCCTTGGGATCTCTGCAGACCGGGCTGCTGAGATTTATTCCCTTGGGGATCATCCCCAAATCCCAAAGGCCTCGTGCTCCTGCTCYACTGTCCTGTGAGCCACCAGCACCTGCCTGAGCTGGGCCTGCTGCTGCACCGTGGCTGTGTTTGGGTTTGACCCCCTTCGTGTTTCCATGACTCCCACCAACAGTGGATAGCCTGTAATTCCCCAKCCAGSAGGGAATGTGAACTGAGGGAAGAGMGCAAATCATCTCCTGGACACATCCCTGCCCTTTGAGGATGGACACAGGCGAGGGGCTGGGCAGAAGGGTGGGTGTCACAGTTGGRTGTCACAGCTGGATGTCACAGCTGGCTGTCACTGCTCTGCAGTCACAGAACCCCTCAAGGTGGCCCTGGAGCTGTGCCAGGGATGTGGAGAGGGGATGTGGGTCACGGAGCCCTTTGTGAGTGGGATGGAGCCCAGGCTGCGGCTCCTCCAGAGGATTTTTGCTCTGCTGCTGCAGGCAGCGAGCAGTGATCCGTGGCACATCTGTAACCGAGGACAACAAAGATTTAGGGCAGCAGATTAGTGGCTTGAAGTCAGAAGCCATCTTAGCTGGAAATGTGGTGTGATTCTCCTCCCTTCAGCGCGTTTGCTCCGCCGGTGCTGCCGGTGCTGCGAGCCCGCTGAGCCCTGCGGCACACAGACCCCTCCCCGCTGATTCACGGTGTGGCAGGCGTTTCTGAGGACATCGGGACAGAAGGGCTTGGCAAACAGCACRTCCAGGGATAAATGCCTGGGTTTTGTTCTGTTAGCTCCATTTCAATTCCGATTCACGGCAGCGGGGAAGGAGAAGGAAGCCAGCACCGGGAAATGCATTTCATCCAAAGCACGGCGCTGCCCTGCCGCTCCCCCCGCTGATTTATTTCTTTCCAGCAGATTTCTCTGAGCTGGGGATCCTCAGTCGTGGTCGTTTTTCCTCCAKCAGCCCCATATGATCCGGGACGAAGGCACGGCAGTGTGTCCCGGGGAGCAGGAGG